ATTTTATTAACTTTATTTATAAGTTTTTGTACAAGAACTGCCTGTTTTACGTGTTTACCCTCTTTTTCCCTCTAGAATGACTTTAAATTGTAACATGATACAATATCTGTTTATCCTAAATAGCTTTAAACTCGTAACAGTATACATCTATTTATGATTACATTTTATTGTTTTATTGCCCTTTGAACCATGTCTAACTACTATTCATCCCATTATAAGTTGTAAATCACTTGGGGAACGTGCAGCTCACATTACACTATCAAATTACGTTACCCACAAGCTACTTTGAGCTGCTTGCAAGCGTGCCTCGTGAAATATATTTATTATATTATTATTATTTATTTTACCTAATTTAAACTTAACTAACCTAAAGAGATCCCTATTTTTACATTTCAGTTACTTCTATAATAATAAATAAAGAATAAATATGAAAAACAAGAAATAAAGCACTTACCCATGTCTTTTTTTTTTTGCTGCCAACTATCTATGACATTTATATTGCCTTATAAACTTAAACCTTATATAATATTAAAATATGATTTATTAGCTATGATTTTATGCTATACTAATTGGTATAACAAAAACAAAAAGTAGTTTAATAAACTTTTGAATGTAAGCCACTAAAACCTCATGACGTGTGCAAAAAATGATGCCCAGGCAGAGATGATAAAGAAATCTTCTGACATTCTTTGAGTATGTTACTGTAAGAGTTGACGAAAAAAAGTGTTTGATAAAGTGACTCACAAGACTTGTTACAAAAATTAAATCTGTGGGTGTGGGGTAAATGTTATTAAATTGAATAGAAAATTGGCTGTAGAGAAGAAAGCAGGGAGTAGTAATAAATGGAGTTAGATCTAACTAGATCACAGTTACAAGCAGTGTGTCTCAGGGCTCTGTGCTGGGTCTCCTGCTGTTTGTGGTTTATATTAATGATACTGACTATGGAACGACTAACAAAATTTTGAAGTTTGCAGATGACATTAAGATTTTTGGGGTGGCTAACTGTATCAAATATGCTGCAGACTTACAGGGAGATTTAGATCATTTGATGCACTGGGCCAATTTGTAGCAGATGATGTTTAAGTATCGGAAATGTAAGGTGATGCATGTAAGTTTTCAGAATTCAAATTATTGTTACAATTTAAATTGGAATACATTACATATACTGTAGTTGAAGAAAAATGTCTTGATGTTGTGATTGAAAAATCACTTAAGTCATCTAAACAGTGAATTTTAGATAGCAATAGGACTAATAGGATTTTGGGTAGCATCTATAGAAGTATTGAATACAAGAAGAGGGATATTATTGTTTCACTGCATAGATCATTTGTAAGGCCTCATTTAGAGTACTGTGTACAATTTTGGGCTCCCTTCCTCAAGAAGTACATTGAATTGTTGGAGAAGGTTCAAAGAGCCACTAGGATGATACCTGGGATGTTGGGATGGTCCTATGAGGAGAGACTAAAATCTATAAGCTTGTTTTCTCTGGAGAGGAGAAGGGTCAGAAGGGATTTGGTTGAAGTGTTTAAAATTATTAAGAGTATTGATAATATAGATCCATCAAACTTATTTGTGTTTAGCAGTGAAAACAATAGGACAAGGGGTCACAAATTAAAATTTTGGCAGTGTAAGAGTTGTCTGCAATTTAGACAGTATTACTTTTCAAACAGGGTGGTTGGCTTTTGGAATGAGCTGGACAAATACATGAGTAGTAAGAGGTGGTTATAGTTGGGAGCTGGAAGAGGTATCTTTGATGGGCTAATAAGCTCCTTTTTGTCCCTTGAAATTTTATTAATTTATTTAAATATCACTAAAACCCCTATTATTATTTGATACTAATTTAAAAAAATATTCAAAATCCTTAATATTACATTATGTTACACTTTCTTACTTTTAGGCACCTTTAATAATTTTTAAAAGTTTGTAAAATATTGCACTCAGGTGGCCTCAATCAATGTTAACAATGAATAATAATAAAAGTTTACAATGGATTAATACACATCCAAGATGTCCATATAAATAATCTGAAGTTCAAATAAATGAAAAAATTATATGTACATTTAAGAGCTGTCAAATCATCACAACAAAAATCTTTAATAAACTTAAATAAATTCTAGTGGTACTTTTTAAATTAAATATTAAATTATCACGTAAGAAACTGTATTTGTTTAATTACAGGTAAACATCATAAACTGAAATCAACTATATTATTCAAGTCCTCCAAAGTAAAATCTTATTTCATTCAAAGTAAACATTATAACTCAAAAAAATCTTCAACCAGTTTTTCTATGAAAATTCCTTATCTTATTTTTCTTTTGTTCAGTTTTGAACAAGTGTAAATGAAATCCTAATATATATATATATATATAGCATAAATTATTATTGTCAATAATACAAAATTCCCTTACCTTACTAAAGTCTTCCTTCATTTTATCACTGATCTTGCAAAAATCTTGATTAAATTGATTTTCAGTTTGTACATTCTCATCCTTCAAACATGATGTGACAGGAGTTTCAGCATTAGAAAATTTTTGTATTTCTGAAACATGTCCAATTTGATCTTCTTCAAAAGATTTGTGCTGTTTTTTTATAAGCTCACTTTTGTGGTTGTCATTTTCATAAGCTGTAATTTACAGAATATAAAAAACATTAATTACATGTGGTGTCATTACCATTTTCTCATAATTTCAAGTACTTAGAAAAAAATTCCAAAATGTACTTTTAAAAGATAGTAAGGCCAAGAATATTTTAAGAAAAATATGATCCAATTGAAGATTACCACATTTTTATCCCAGAATTTGTAAAGAAATTAAAGTATGAATATCAAACATAACAAATTCATGAATAAAAACACTTAGCTTTTTAGGAATTAATAGAATGGTAGGGGTTATGTCAACTTAATTAGTCAGAGTTAAAACATGTTTCTGAAAAAATGTCCACATCTTATACTTAAATAATTAATAATTACATTTATAAACAAATTCCAAATAATTTGACATTCAGTTCAGAAATGAGATTAAATAACCAAACAAACATAAACAATCACTTTCAAAGGGGATAAATACTCTTTCGAACAAAAAACTCTTTAAATTTTTTACACTTAAACTTCTGATCAATGTAAAAATATTTTTAACGAGATTGGCACTCAGTAGAGCTCATACCTCCACCACGCAGCATTAATTATACAAAGCTCTCAAAAAATGTGAAAATGAGTCCATATGTCCACTGTTATCAATAGACATGGACTATTTTGGGGCAAGACAATGAGGAATAATATTGTACATATGTCCACCAAGTTTCATCAAATTCTGATTAATTTTGACTGAGTTATAGAACAAATATAGTGTGAACATTCAGTCCCTATGTTAACAGATAGGGATTTTTTGGATTTTTGTTACCTTGACCTTTCAAAAACTAATCACTTCTAAGTTGGGTCAGAGTCCAAATGTATACCAACTTTCATCTAAATCCATTCAGCCATTTTCAAGAAATTTTGCTGACAAAGACATGCACACAGGGATGAAAACATACCCTACACCCACCTTAGGTGCTGGAGGTGATACCATCTATATACAAAATTACAAGTACAACAGAGATTATGTCATAAACAAGGTATAAACTGTAGGATCTAATACAGTTATCTTACCAAGTAAAGAAAAATGTGTAAACATCAATACATTTAAAGAATGATTAAAACATAAAATGCTCCATTTCACTAAAAATACATGGTAATAACAAACATTAATCTTAAATAATAAAAAAGTATAAACTATAAAAATTCTAGCTTTTATTTTTAACAGCACTTTTTCATGGACTACATTTGTTTTATTTTGTAAATGTTTTGGGCTCCTTGATGTGTCCTTCATGTTTGGAGTGGTCTTCTGCAGTTTGTTTATATCAAATTCTTTTATTTTTTAACAAAAGTAAAATTTAAACTATAACCTGTGATATAGAGGCCTAATATATATATTCTTTGATTTTCCATAGTTTCTACTGTACACTGAAGTTTCACCTATTCAAGGCTCATTAACATATCTTGGATCAACAAACTGAAAAAATACAGTAAGGCCTCTTTTAATGATAATGTTTACAGAATACATATGAAGTATTTTAGTCCTTTTAATTCACAACTTCATAACTTAAATTAATTTAGATATATAAATAATATTGTGACATTGCACCAAATTTATTATTCCATATTATACAGTGAGCCAAGTGATCATTATATTACGCATTCCTTTTCACCATTGAAAATATAATTAATGATGCATGGCAAATAAAATATATTAGGCATCTATATCACATATTATATTTTCACTTTTACTTTTCACAACAAATAGATGCACCAATATCAACTGTAAGACACTAGATAGTTTTTCTTAAACAAGGAAGAAATTATTTTAAGTAATAACAGAAAGCTCCAAAAATAAATACTGCCCATTTAAAACACATATCTTTCAGCTCAGAAATTAATTGAGAAATAAAGATAAACTGTAGAATATTAAATCTGTATAAAGTTATTCTTCATATAAGCTACATATATGATGAAAGCAGTTATCTTAAAATTAAAACAAATACTAACTTGGGTAGTTTGATTTTGACGCATTTGTCCTCCTAACTGCATTAACTTGAAGGCCATTTAATGTATTTTCAAGTACAACTATATCTCTAATATCCCTAAGAAGATTCTCAATACAATCAAATCCATAAATTATACAATTTAAACTCATCCCAAAATGTCTTATAAATGCACTTTCAAAGTTGCCAATATTTATTCCATTGGGATAACTGATCATGAGTTCCTGTATCTGTCTTCGTAATAACGCTGGAACCTTAGGCTGCACTGAAATATTGCTACTTGGTTTGTACTTCATTCGAGGGGGTCTTCGGCTCATGTAATGATTGAATGAACTAGTATACCCTGAATTAGTGACCTTTTGTCTTGAAACCATTTTTTCTATATGCTTAGTTGTCTCATCTGCAACAGCTTTATACACATAATCTTGCAATGATTTATTGTACACTAGTTTCACAACGTCAGGAATGGAGTCTAAAAACTGAGAAAGGGAGACAAAACCCAATCTGCGATAAGGTAACTCTGTTCCAATTTGTTCTTGGTGATATTGACATAACTGCAGTCCCGTTAACCCTTTTGGTGTAGACAATAATAATGATCTAATATGTATCTTTGTTTCATTTAGAAGTTCTGCGTTTTCAGACATTGTGATTTAGCAACTGATAGTAAATATTAAAAAAAAATCTACTTTTCAAAACTGTCAAGCCTGCTTCAGCAACACCAAGTAAGACAACAAAATATAAATCTGCCGAACATAAATTTAATAAACTGCACACTCCTATTACTTGTTAACCCTAATAATACTATTTACTAATGTGACTTTAGCCAATCATCGAGAAACAAATATAGAGATTTAGCTTTCATCACCAGATGGCGACAATAAACAATAATAAATACACACGGAAATTTCTTGAGTTTTTTTTTTCAGTTAAATCTTACAGCAGGGCCTCGTCAGTACTCGTAACCTTTAATAAAAGTGTAAAATCGATACCTCGAAAAATATATAAATATGTTTTTCTTTTCTCAAGATAAAAGTAGCCTATTTCTCAAATTAAAACCTATATCTTGTTTTAACTGGATAAAGGCTTAAATCAGAAATTCTATACTTTTGAATAAATATCAGCTTCTTTTGACCAACTGAAAAGAAATCCTACACCAAGCTATTTCTCTTATTCAACAATCCTTTTGCTTTTACAAACTGACAACAAACTTCATTGAAGTAGTGAAACACCTTAGTATAGAATATCTTTTCACTGACCCAATGAAAGGCGTAGTTTGGGAACACCTTGGGTTCTTTGTCAGATATATTTTTAAAACGTCAATGATTACTTTTGTAGATACTCACTTGTTTGTGTTGTTACGTCTCCGTTCGTTAGTTAATTTTCCCTAAATTCGTTCCGACGAAACTTCAGCGACACAAGTCGTTTCTTAAATAAAACTGGTTTATTCGTTCTGAATATAACTTTGCGATACACTTAATTTCAACAGTCGCGCTATAATTCCCAACGAACGTCTCACGTGCTCAACTTACACAATACTCAGTTCAATTACACACTCTCTGACTGCAGTTCAATTACTCATTACCTTCCCGTCGCTTTGTGGCCGGTCTTACATATACAAGACCACACTATATCTAGAAGGATCACAAGATTTAAGGAAAAGACGTGAAAATTCGAGGATGACGTGGCGTGATAATAGTCACGTGACCTCGCTGACGCAACACTGCCCCTCCTTAATATTGTTCGTCCCGAACAATAACCACATACAATAAACCAATAACAATTAACAGTAACTTAATTAAATGTACAGAATTACAATCACAAAATTACAATTCAACAAAGTCTCTTAATTTTACGGGACGTATCTTCTTCCGTACTGGTCTCCGTCTCGTTGGCTTCTGCTTCATGTGGGATTCATCTGCTTCATCAGTAAATGTCCGTTCGTCAGTAACAGTCACATCAGTGGTAGTAACTTCATCAAGATCTTCACCGTTTCCCTTCTCAAAACTGAGTAGAGTTTCTTCTTCGACGGTGGCTTCTTCAGGTGGCACGTCTTCAGCAATGTCTTTTGTTCTGTTGTCCACTTCGTCCCAACTGAAATGTCCTGGACCGTGATAACGCCAAAGCCTGTTGGCATGCACCTCTTTTGGCTTACCTCGCCGACCACATTTTGTCCGGAAAGTCACGTCTGAGAGACGATCCACTATGTCATGGAGAAGACAACTTAGGAGACTTCCCTTTGGTTATCCTGGGATTATACAACCACACCTTGTCTCCTAGTTCAAAGCTGACTTCAGTAGATCTATTATCATAAGTTAACTTCATCGAATCAGCAGACGTTTTCAAGTTTGTATGCACTTGATGGTGAATATCATCCATCCTTTCCGATAACACTTTCACAAACTCTAACACATTCTCAGGCAACTCTTCATAAGGTGGGCATCCCTTACCCTTGGGTCCCTTTTTAGCACTACATGTACTGCATGTCCTGCACTATTCTTCCACATCTCGCCTCATACCTATCCAGTAAAATCTTTGTCGTAGATGACTCAATGTCTTCCTAATTCCGAGATGTCCTCCTGTTAAATTATCATGGGATTGACGCAGCACAACTTCCCGTAACTTCCCCGGTATAACTGTTTGCCAAGTCGGCACTTTCCCATCGGTAGTTTCCCATCTCCGTACAAGAATACCATCTTCAAGCGTCAACTGGTCCCATTGTGCCCAATAGTGCTTTGTCACAGGGCTTAGACTAGACACCTTCTCCCAAGCAGGGCGCACAACACTCGCTTTTAGAAAATCAATCATTGACTTCAAATCCTGGTCTTTCTGCTGCTCTGCTTTAATATCTATACCTGGTTCCACTTCGTCATCATCAACTTCTTCAGTCACTTTGACTTCACCTTGATGGCACCTAATTAGTTCAATCTCTCTTTTAACAGTTACCGGAACTTGGCCTTTGTTATTCCCAAACGTCATTTTATCAAAATCAATCACAAACTTCCTTGGTAGTAGATAGTCCAATCCTAATATGCATTCATCTTCAATGTCAGCCAAGTATACTTCCTGTCTGTCCTTTAAGCCCATGAGCTCAATAGTTGCCCACACTGGTCCCCACAACCTTGTAGAATGTCCTGTCACACCATAAAGCTTCTGTATGGCTTCTGGTACTCCTTCATGATCTAACATCTTGATGCTCACAAGGGTTTGCTGAGATGCAGAGTCTATGACAAAGTTGCACCTTTGGCCATCCAGCTTTCCTGTCACATAAACACTGTGTGTGCTTGGCATTTTACACCTAGCTGTAGGGACTTTCATAATGGGGGTTGGTGGGCGTCACTCAACACCAACCACTACTGGTCTCCTTGAGGCCAACTTAT